TATATATATATATATAGAGGCAGGCAAAAGAAAAGAGGAAAGAGGCGCGCGGCTGTCTGTAGCAAACGGAGTTAAACAAAAACAAAGACACAGCAGCAGCAGTAGATGCAGCAGCAGCAGATGCAGCAATAGCAGCAACAGATGCAGCAATAGCAGCAGCAGATGCAGCAGCAGCACATGCAGCAATAGCAGCACATACAGACGTCTCTCCAAAGGCCCCTCTAAGGATGCGCAGCGAGACCCCTGTCACTTCTTCCGCAGCAGCAGCAGCAGCAGCAGCAGATGCAGCAGCAGCAGCCGACTCAGCAGATGCTGCTCCAGACGCTGCTGCAGCAGCTGCTGCTGCATCTGCTGCTGCTGCTGCTGCTTCTCGTGCTCCGTGCACCAGGGCTGGCAGCTGCTGCAGCGCCTCCCTCCTCACCAACAGCGACTCATCCGCGCACAGGTTTTCAAAGAGCCTGCAGCAGCAAACGCTAAACCCTAAACCCTAAACCCTAAACCCTTATGGGCGAGGAGTGCAGCAAAACAATAACTGCCTTCTCCAGCTGTCTTGAAGCAGCTGTGGCTCCAGCGGTCTGCTGCTGCAAGGGAGGAAGACAGGCTGCAGCAGCAGCAGCTGCAGCAGCAGCAAGGCTGCCGCAGCCGGCCTAACGGAGGGTTTAGGGTTTAGGGTTTACAACTGACGGACTGCTGAATTCGTTTAATGGAGACAACTTCACTGCTAAGAGCTGCGTCTCTCGCAGCCTCTTCGTCAGCAGCAGCAACCTCCTCCGTAGCAGCAGCAGCAGCGGCAGCAGGGGACTCGGTGAGCGCCTCCCGCTTCACCCGAGAGCCCTCCCCCGCAGCAGCAGCAGCAGCAGGAGGCGCCACCTCTGCATACTGCAGCAAATGCGGCAGCAGCCGCGCAGCAGCGCAGCGACCGAAGAGACAGCTATCGTCTGCTGCTAAGCGAACAGAGACAGGCAGCAGCCGCTGCTGCGCCAGCAGCACCCTCGAACCTGCTGGCAGCAAAGCCAGCAGAGCCAGCAAAGAGACAATTGCCTGCATGCACAGACGCATGCAAATGCATCCAAACTGATAACTGCATATACACCCCACATACTACTTCATACACACCAACATGCCCGTGCTGCTGCTGCTGCTGCTGCTCATCCTGCTGCTGCTGCTGCTGCTGTTTGTTTTGTCTGTCAGTTGGTGTGTTGGATGCATGCACAGGGACCTCCAACGCAACGGCGCCTCAGCAGCAGCAGCAGCAGCAGCAGCAGCACCAGCAGCAGCAGCAATGGGATGTCTGCCCACCTCGTTGCGGACGCATTTTTCTTCTGCTGCTGCGAGCTGCGCCAAGGCATCGGCGCAGCAGCTGAGCGACTCGCGCAGCTCCTCCTCTGATGCAGCAGTATCTGCTGCTGCTGCTGCTGCTGCTGCTCTCCACTGAACAGCAAAGAGAGACAGCACTTCATCACAGTACCCTACTTGCTGCTGCAGCTCAGCCAGCAGCGGCAGCAGCAGCAGCCGCGTCTTCGACGCCCCCAACACCTGGCATAGTAAACCTACACGCCCAAGGGCCTCTATCTGCAGCAGCAGCAGCAGCAGCAAAGAGGAGACAGAGACAGAGACAAAAAAGAATTAAAATCGAAGCGTATAAAACAAAAGATCAGCAGAGACAAACAAACAGCAGCAACGCAACACAGCAAAAGTGCTGCTGTCAAGACACCACGAACAATATCTCTATTGCTGCTGTCTCTACTGCTGCTGTCTCTATTGCTGCTGTCTCTGCTGCTGCTGCCTCTGTTGCTGCTGTCTCTGTTGGTCTCCCCATTTGCTGCCTGTATCTCCTCTCGCTGTCTCCCTGTTTTATCTGTGTCTCTTCCTGCTGTCTCTTGCTGCTGCTGCTGCTGCTGCTGCTGTCTGCTGCTGCTGCTGCTGCTGCTCTCCCTATGCTGCCTCCTTTGCGGTGTCTCCTCACCTGCTGTTTTGCTGATACCCCCCCCACTTCGCCCCGCCCCAACACCTCGGCCCTAAAGAAATCCAAGAAGTCGCTCATCGCAACTGCTGCTGCTGCTGCTGTTGCTGTTGGTTTTGCTGCTGCTGCTGCTGCTGTTGTTGTTGTTGTTGTTAGTTTTGCTGCCGGTGCTGCTGGTGATGTTTTGCTGCTCCCGCTGCTGTCTGCGCTGCTGCACGGATGCTGCTGTTTCTCCAGCTGTCCTCTCTACCGCCGCTGCTGCTGCAGCTGCTGCTGCTGCTGCTGCTGCGGAGGCACAGCAGCAGCAAGGCCCCTCCCGCACGTTGCTGCTCCTCTGTCTCCTCTTGATGCATGCAGCTGCTGTTCTGTCTCCTTCTTCCCTCTACATCTGCCCTTGTATAAACTCAATAAGAAAGAAAGCCCCATTCAAAGCGCATGCAAGCCGCAGCAAACGGAGCAGCAGCAAGCAGCAACCAGCAGCGGCTAGCAGCAGCGAACAGCAGCTGCTGCTGCAGCTGCTGCATGCGAGAAGACTGAAGCAAAGGATTCAGCGATGCTTTTAAGACGGAGAGAGATGAATACATCTCGCGGCCCTCCACTAACGATATACACCACGTGAGCTGCTGCTGCTGCTGCTGCTGCTGCGGCTGTTGCTGTTGCTGCTTCTGTTGCAGTTTAGGTGCCTCTACTACTGCTGCTGCTGCTGGGGGCCAAGGCGAAGCTTCAAACGTGCTGATGGGTCGTGCTTCAGCAGTAGAAGTAGGCGAGCAAACAAATCAGCTGCTGCTCCGTGCTGCTGCTGCTGCTGTTGCTGCTGCTGCTGCTGCTGCAGAGAGAAGCACAGCACGTGAGGCCGCAGCTACGCTCCTTCTCTTTTTCTCTTTTTGCTTAAATGTCTCTCTGCTTGTCTCAAGTATTAATAAAACCTACAAAGAGATAAACGCAAGGAGAGCGACTGGTACGGAGGAGGCAGATATGCAGTTGGTTGCTGCTGCTGCAGCAGCAGCAGCAGCAGCAACAGCAGCAGGGGGTGTAGGCGTTCAGACGGAAAGGCGAAGATTATTCGAGCGTAACTGCTGCTTCAGGCTAGCAAAACAGGAGCAGCAGCAGCAGCAGCAGCCTTCTTTGCTGCTGCTGCTGCTGCTGCTCTGCCTACGACAACTGGGGTGATTAGGAAACGCGGAGATATTTAAACGCTGCAGTTGCTGCTAAAAAATAAACTCCAAGACACACCGCCATTGGCTGCTGCTGCCTCAGGCTGCCTTGTTGCTGCTGCTGCTGCTACTGCTGCTGCTGCTGCTGTTAGATCCAGCCAGCCCCGTTGCAGCTCCTACTGCAGCTGTACTTCCTTTCTGCTGATCTCTGCAGGTTAATAAAGAAGAATAATAATATTTTAAAGCATTTTATAATTAACAACTTATATTTAAAGCCTCACTCTAAACGAAACTCTCTGCAGTGTACAGACAGCCGCACCGCCTCCCTCCACACATTGTCCGGCATTGTTTGCTGCATACACCGCAAACTAAAGAAGATTTTTTAAACTAATGAATGTAGTAAAAGTATATTACAATGAAGGCTTGAGACACAGGAGAGAGCTACAGTTAGCTACACCTAGCTACAGCTAGCTACACTCAGCCTCTGGGCATGCTAGCTATATATCTAGACGTGTAGCTAGCTGCAGCTAGCTGTATATAGACACAGCTAGTTGTACCTAGTAGCCTAGCTAGCCGTAGCTAGCTGACGCTAGCCGCAGCTGGCTCAAACTAGCCCCAACTATCAGCATCTAGCTGCAGCCTGCCTCAGCAAAACAGAGCAAGCCCTAGGTAGCTGTCGCCAGCATTAGCTAGCTGTAGCTAGCTGTAGATAGCTGTAGCACACCGTATCTAGCTGTAGATCGCAGTACCTAGCTGCCGCTCCATAAATAAATTACTGGCTATAGCTAAGTAGCAGCTGCAACCTAGCTACCTCTATCTATCCGTAGCTACCTGCAGCTAGCTGTAGCTAGCCATAGCTAGCTGTAGCTAGCTGTACCTCGTCGGGGGAAGGGCTAGGGGCAGAAGACTAAAATAGAAATGGAGGAGAGCCCTACTGAACGGATCCTCTTATTAAAATATCTGCATGCGCCCAACTAAGGGCTGTCTGAGGTGTACAGACAGCTAAATGCAAATAAATAGAAGCAGATATTATAACACCCGCACACCGAACGCCGCGGCGTTAGTCAAACAGCTAGCTATCTAGCTAGATAGCTAGCTAGCTAGCTAGCTAGCTAGATAGCACACCGCAGCAGAGAAGGAGCCGCTAGCTGCTGCTATCTCAACAAACAAACAAACGATTACTATATATATATATATATATATATAGCACCTCCCTCTCTTTAAAGCCTCTATTCCCTGCTTAGATACCTAAAGGCCCCAGGGGCCCCACAGTGGGGGGGGGCTGTTGTTAGTGTGCGGTGAAGTTGGTGCAGAGAAGCTGTTGTTTGATTGGCTCCTTGTCTTTAATGTCTGCTTCTCTGTCTCTTATAAAAAGGAGAAGCAGAAAAAAGGAGACAGCAAAAGGAGACAGCAAAAGGAGACAGCAAAAGGAGACATTGAACGAAACCCAAGTGCGCTCGCAATCCAAAGACACTGCTCGTTGCTGCTGTTGCTGCTGTTGCTACTGTTGCTGCTGTTGCTGATGCTGCAGCTTTTGCCGCTGCTGCTGTTGCTGCTGCTATTGGTGCTGCTGCTGCAGCAACTGCTACAGCTGCTGCTGCTGCTGCTGCTGCTGCTGGCAAGACACGTGCGTTGTGTGCTGTGCCTCAAGGCCCCGCAGACGGTGTATCTAAGGCACCCCCGCAGCAGCAGCAGCAGCAGCAGCAGCAGCAGCAGCAGCAAGAGCCTCAAACTGGAGGCTTTCGCTTAGACTGTGAGTTCAGCAGCTGCAGAGACAGCCGGAGCCTCCAGCAATTGAAATACATAAGGCAGCGTAAAGACAACCCCACTGCAGCATAAACAAACAAGGAGACAGATATAGGGAGACAGATATACACTGCAGCATAAACAAACAAACAAGGAGACAGACTAACAGCACAACGCTGCCGAAGCATCCGCAGGCGACAATGCAAGCAGCAGCAGCAGCAACAGCAGCAGCAGCAGCAACAGCGGTAGCAGCAGCAGTTGTAGGAGCCTCGTGAGCGCTTCCTGCTTCAGCCAAGAGCCTCCCTCGCAGCAGCAGCAACAGCATCAGCAGCACTAAGTACAGCAGCAGCAGCAGCAAAACGAGCAGCAGCAGCAGCACCAAAAACAGCAGCAGCAGCACCAAAAACAGCAGCAGCAGCAGCACCAAAAACAGCAGCAGCAGCAGCACCAAAAACAGCAACAGCAATACCGAAAACAGCAGCAGCAACAGCAGCAGCAGCAGCAAATACCTCGCGTCTCCAACGAAGGCGGCGTTGAGCCAGGAGTCGACTAAAATGCAGCTAATCGGCACCTGGGGTTCCACCTCTGAGGAGACAAAATAAAAAGGAGACAGGTGCGCTTTGTGCTGCTGCTGCAGTGTCTCCTCCAATCAAACGAGGGAGAGGGACGCAACAGCAGCAGCAACACCAACAGCAGCAGCAGCAGCAACAACAGCAGCAGCAACAGAAGCAGCAGCAACAGCAGCTGACCTCTAATATAATTTCTCACAAGCCTGCAGCAAACCCCTCCATCAGAAATATCTCTCTCCAAGCGCCGCACACAAATAGACCCGTCCATGCATCCCTGCAGCAGCAACATAATGCAACATAACCTAGTTGCTGCTGCTGCTGCTGCTGCTCCTGGTGTTGCTGCTGCTGCTGCTCTCGCTGCTGTTGCTTCCGTTTGTGGGGCTGGTGAGCGATTTGAATTAACTCGGAGTGCAACAAAGACACGCCCGCAGCAGCACAAACTGCTGCTGCTGCACCAGCAGCAGCAGCACCTCCAGCAGCAGTACTACCAGCAGCAAAAGCAGCAGCAGAAGCAGTAGCAAAAGCAGCAGCAGCAGACTCACAGCGAGGATGATGGTGGAGCGCAGCTCCCAGGCTTCAGGGGCCTCCAAAACATACAGATATGACAGAGGCGAAGAGCACGTGAGGGCAGCAGCATCCATCCTGCAGCAGCAGCAGCAGCAGGAACTGTCTCTAGGAGAAGGAGACAAAGATAATCTGCTGGTGCTAAAGAAGAAGAAGACAAAGGGTTTGCTGCTGCTGTCCCTGCCTCGTTTATAAAAGAGACAGAGACAACTTGCTGCTGATCTCAGAGGAGGAGACAGAAGATCTGCCGCCGCTGCTGTCTCCTATCTCCTCTACAATAATAATAATAATAATAATAATAATAATAATAATAATAATAATAATAATAATAATAATAATAAATATTATTATGTATTATTACTCTTACTACCACCAGTGCCCAATATTATGTTTATTATGATTATTATAATATTTATTATTGCAGTAAAGACAAGCATAATTATAAATTACTATTATAATTATATTTATAACAATAATAATAATAATAATAATAATAATAATAATAATAATAATAATAATAATATTTATAATTAATTGCTGCGAAGAGGCGGCTCACTCAAATATACACTGCAGAGTCCTGGGGCACCACATAGAGAGAGCCTTGTTCCCGCAGACAGCGATAATAAGGTCTGAGGAGACAGTAAAATAAACAAAGGAGACAGATTAAACAAACAACAACAGCAGCAGCAGCAGCAATAGCAGCTGCATCATGAGTAGCAGCAGCACCAGCAGCAATAGCGGCAATAGCAGCAGCAGCAATAGCAGCAGCAGTAGCAGTAGCAGCAGCAGCAACAGGGGCAGCAGCAACGGAAGCAGCTACAGCTACAGCAGCAGCAGCAACAGGAGCAGCAGCAGGAGGAGCAGCAGCAGGAGGAGCAGCAGCAGTAGCAGCAGGATGAGGAGGCAGAGTTTGCTGCTGCTGTCTCCTGCTTACCTCTGTACTTTGCGTACTCCAGTTTGCTAACGTCTGTGTCTCTTAGCTGCACTGCATGCAGCAAATGATAAGTGCTTAAGGAGACAACAGCAATAACCCCGTCTCCATATCCCACCCACAGCTGATCGAGAGCAGCAACAGGCAGCAGCGCGCCAACATAAGGAGACACTGCAGCAGCAGCAGAAGCAGAACTACCCCCAGAGGCACCCCTCTGTCTCTGCTGCTGCCCGCAGGGGGCCCTCCCTAAAGCCACGCAGCAATACTTGCTGCTGCAGCAGCGGCTCTCTCCCTCTCCTCGTCCACCTGCTGCTGTTTCTGCTGCTGCTCCTGCTGCTGCTGCTCCTGCTGCTGCAGGGGCATCCGTACGGGGGGTATCTTCACCTCTGTCTCCTTCTTCTGGAGACAGAGGGATTGATTCAAGCCCTATAACACGGTCGAGAGAGAGGCCCCGCTGCAAGGCTGCTGCTACTGCCTCTTCATCTGCTGCTGCAGCTCCCGCTGCTTCTGGTGCTGCTGCTGCTCCTGCTGCTGTTGCTGTGGAGGGGTCGCCGCAGCCAGAGGAACGATCTTCAGCATTCTCGCCCTCCTGCTGCTGCTGGTGTTCCTGCTGCTGCTGGTGTTCTTGCTGCTGCTGCTGCTGCTGCTGCAGCGCCTGCTCTCGCAGGTGCTGCAGCAGCTCTTGGGGCGCGGGCTGTACGTACGGGAGGGCCTCTGCGCTGTTAGGGATAGAGGAGTAGCAGTTGCTGCCGGAGGAGACATCTCTTGAAGCAGCATCATCATCAATGTCTCCTTTGTGTGATTCGTCTTCCCACAAGAGAGCTGCTGCTGCTGCCTCAGAGGCAGCTTGCTGCTGCAGCTGCTGCTGCAGCTCCTGCTGCAGCTCTTGTTGCAGCTCGTGCTGCAGCTCGTGTTGCAGCTCGTTGTCTCCTTGAGGGTGTGGTGGGGGCCCGCTGCTAACAAGAGGGCATGCTTTGCTGCGGCTGTGAGGAGACTTCCTAAGGCACTGAGCTTCTTGATAAGAAGCCTCTTCAATATATGAAGCAGGTGCAAGTATATCTGGAGACACAGTGTCTCTGTCTGCATGCAGCCGCTCGCTCCTGTCTCCTCCCCTTACATCGCTGTAGACCTCTACTGGCAGCTCTACCTCTGCTACCGTACCCACTGCCTTTATCTCCTCTTCCTGCTGCTGCTGCTGCTGCTGCTGCTGAGGTAGAGCTCCTCCTCCGCTGCGTTCGGCTGCTGCGAAGGCTGCGTGGGTATTGCCGAAGAGTTTGCTGCAGCATCCGCAGCACTCCTGCTGCTGCTGCTGCTGCTGCTGCATCTGCAGCTGCTGCTGCTGCTGCTTCTGCTGCTGCTGCTGCTGGCCTGGATGCGGCAGCACCAGCAGCAACTTCGTACTAGGCACCTGCCACACGTATGTCTGTCCCCTTTCATCTCCAGCTAAGACAAAGTGAGCAAACTCAGCAAATGTAGCATTGATAGTAAGCGAGCAAATAGCAGAGCCGCCAGCAGCAGCATCAGTCTCCTCCCCACAAGAGGCGCTGCTGCTGCTGCTGCTGCTGCTGCTGCTGCTGGATGCTGCGCCTGCGCCAGAGGAAGGCACCGACGACCTCGAACCTGCAGCACATACAATAGAAATAAATCGTGAGACTTGCTGCAGCTGCAGCAGCAACAGCAACAGCAGCAACAATCATTCATTAGTCTAGGCTCAGCAGCAGCAAGACCATCGGCAGCAGCAGCAACGGCACAATCGTCAGCAGCACAATCATCATCAGCAGCAACAGCAGCAGGAGCAGCAGCATCACCAGCAACAACATCAGCATCACCACAATCATCATTAGCAGCAGCACCACCGCAATCATCATTAGCAGCAGCAACAGCACAATCAGCATTAGCAGCAGCAGCAGCACGAGCAGCAGCAGCAGATGCAGCAGCAACAGGTGCAGCAGCAGGAGCAGCAGCAGCAGGTGCAGCAGCAGGAGCAGGGTGTTGCAGTACGCGCTGTATCTAGCTCGAGCAGCAGTTGAAAGGTCTCTGCATTTAATATGAAGACTCTGCCCGTCTGAGTGCCGCACAGCAGCACTCTGCCTATACCCCCTATCTTTCCTCCGGTGCAGCAGGTTAGCGGCTGCAGCGGTATGCGTCGCTGCAGCAGCAAACCATCGAAAGAAAATCTCTCTAAAGCTAAAGGAGATGCACACACCAAACCCTGAAGCTCATTACGAGGCCCCTTACACACAAATACCCCTATCACAGGGCCCTGCACACATACAAACACCAGCAGCAGCAGCAGCAGCAGCAACAGTAGCAGCAACAGTAACAGCAGGAGTAGCAGCAGCAAGAGTAGCAGCAACAGTAGCAGCAGGAATAACAGCGGCAAGAGTAGCAGCAGCAGCAGCAGGTGTAGCAGCAGCAGGAGTAGCAGCAGCAGGAGTAGCAGCAGCAGGAGTAGCAGGCGGCAGATGAGAGGGGCTCTGAGGTGCGTTTATGAATAGAGACAGAGACAGAGAAGAAAATAAACAAAAGATAAAGCGACAAATAAATAAAACAGAGAAGGAGACAAATTAACAACAGAAGCGCAGCAGCAGCAAAAAGAAGCCCCAAAGTAGAAATACGCCATTCAAGCAGCAGCAGCAGCAGCAACAGCAGCAGCACAAGCATCAGTTGAAGCAGCAGCGACCAAGCAGCAGCAGCAGCATGAGCAGCAGCACCAACACAAGCAACATCAACACCACACGCAGCAACATCATCACGGACAGCAGCAGCAGCAGCAGCACCCGCCGCCGCCACCACCACCACCACCACCGCAGCAGCAGCAGCAGCAGCAGCAGCAGCAGCAGCAGCAGCAGCAGGTGAGGCGATGAAGTCTTACTGGTCTGCCTGGTTGATTAGGGACGCCGAAAGCCTGAGCAAGTTGTATTGCTCCTTGCTGCTGTCGGTTTGCTGCTGAGCGCCAGCGTCCTAATGAGAAGATATCTAACCAAGTGTTGTTCTTCTTGCGGTGTGCCTCTCGCTTTGCTGCTGCTGTTGCTGCTGCTGCTGCTGCGGCGGCGGCAGCAGCAGCAGCAGAGGCTTCAGGGGATGCTGACGGTCCCCTTCCTCCTGCGCTCGATGCAGCGCCCACTCCAGACTGCGCTCGGTCGCTGCTGCTGCTGCTGCTGTTGCTGTTGCTGTTACTGCTGCTGCTGCTGCTGCTGCTGCTGCCACCTGGCTCTGCGCCGTTCGTCGGAGGGGCATCTTCAGCTGTCTCCGAGGAAGAATGGTTTGGTGGCTGCTGCGTATCTTCTTGTTGCTGCTGCTGCTGTTGCTGCTGCTGTTGCTGCTGCTGCTGCACATCACTATCCTCTACCTGCTGCAGCAGCTGGCGGTCTCCGCCCGTTTGCTGCTGCTCCATTGTCGCTTAAAATGCGGAGCTGCTTCTTTAGGAAGTCGCCTAGCAGTGAGTCTCGCGCTGCAGCAGCAGCAGCAGCAGCAGTTGCTTCACTTAGGTCTGCCGGTGCTGTTGCTGCTGTTGCTGTTGCTGTTGCTGCTGCTGCTGCTGCTGCTGCTGCTGCTAGAAAGCTGCGACGGAGGACTGCGCCGCACAATGAAGGTCCCTTACGAAGGCGGCTACGAAGGGATAAGAGGGCCTCAGGTGTCTCCCTCTAGGCATTAACTGTCTCCTTTTAAAAATCAGCTGTCTCCTTCGGCAATGCGGCTGTCTCCTCACCTGCAAACGAAGAGCTGCTGGCTGGGGCCCCCGTGCTGCTGCGCTGCAGCAAAGAGATGAAGAAGAAGACCCGCTACGAAGTTATGCTGCGCCTACCCTGGGCCTGCTGCCGCTGCTGCTGCTGTTGCGGCTAATGCTGCTGCTGCTGCTGCTGCAGCTGCAGCGGCTCGCTGAAGGCCCCGTGCCTCGCAGTTGTTGTCTACTGCTGCGGTTGAGAAGAGGAAGGAATGCTTGTGTACAAGAGCTTGTTGTACCTGTTGCTGCTGTTGTTGTTGTTGCTGCTGCTGTTGCTGCTGCTGCTGCTGCTGCTGCTGCTGCTGCGCTCGCAGCAGCCGCACAACCACTAGCAGATGCGGCAACAGCAAGAGGGTCTCCTGTTCGTTAAAACAGGAACCCCTTGATGTGTATGTACACACCAACAAATCCAGAAGGTTTAGCTGGCGAGCAGCCCCTTGAGCAGCAGCACGGGGGCCGCCGCAGCAGCAGCAGCAGCAGCAGCAGCTGCTGCTGCTGCTGCTGCTGCTGACGGGCCGGAGCAGCAGGCGCTGCTCTCACACAGCATTGCAGCTGCTAATAGGGAGACTGTGAATAGCTTAGTTTGTTTATTTGATTAGAGACAATAAAGCATTTTATGTATGTCTCTACTGTAAAGAAGAAGAAGAAGCAAGCGCTTGCTGCAGCAGCACTGTGGGCAGGGAGCGCTGTCTCGGCTACTTCTTTATTATCTCTTCTTCTTGTTTCTGCGTTAATATTGAAAAGATTTATTGTAAAACAGATGCTGCTTCTTCATTATATATGTTTATTCGCTGCAAATTAATTAGGCTGTCTCTGGAGCCGACAGAGACAGAGGGGTCCCTCAGCTGTATATACACCTGAAGACATTACCGATAGGAGACAGTGTTGCTGCTGATGTTAAGTTGCTGTTGCTGCGGCTCTTCTTGCTGCTGCAGAAAGGCGTAGCTAAGAAGCCTCCCCAGCTGCTGCTGGAGTATATTATCTTCTCTATCTGTTGTCTCGTGCGGTGTCTCTGGAGATGTCTTCAGCAGCAGCAGCAGCAGCAGCAACAGGAGCAGCAGCAAAGTGCTAGTCTTTACAAGAGAATAAAAACGAAGAGATGAGGGGGAGGGAGAGCTCAAAGTATACAAATTAATTAAGATATCTTGCTTCGCTGATATGCTTACAGAGACAAGCCCCTTAATATGCATCTACACAATGCAGTTTAGCTAAGCTAATGGGTAGACTATCTATGTAGAGTCAGGGATATCTTTAACTGTTTTATACTGGGTTAGAGCATACAGCTAAAGGGCTTCGATGTGCATGCATGCTGCATTACCTTGAAGTTGAAACGAGGCGCTCTACACCTCCTCTGAGGCTCTATCATCTCCTTACCAGCCCCAGGTGCTTGAGTAAGACTGTTTGAGAGTAAGGGGGAGACTAGATGCTGTTGAGGAGATCTTAAGTAAAGTATTTTAACTGTATAACAATCATCTCTCGAAGGCTCTCAGATTAAACAGACGACACCCGTTATAAGCAGTGCTCTTCTAAGAAGATACAAGTAAAGAAAATAATCTCCACAGCCATGCAGCTAATTGTGTGGCATAGAATAATAGCGAAGGCTCTGAATTAATAGATAGACCACCAGGATATCTCTAGACACCCTTCCTAAAGCCTCTGCTAAAACTGTCGCCCCCCCCTCCCTTCCCGGAGTAAGCGGTGAGCAGCTGGAGTCCTTGCTGCGTTGAACGAGGGCAGTATCTGCATGCAGTTCGACATAAAAATGTTTCTACAACAAAAGCTATAATGAAGAATGCCTCAGCCTTCGCTGGCCATCCAGGGATGATGAGCGCAGCGACTTGAAGGCAGTGGAGGAGTTTTTTGATCTTTTTGGAGTAATATTTTCGTACTCAAACTGCATGCAGCCTGTTACAGTGGCTATTGATATCTTCTTTATTAGCAGGGGAGGCACGACAATGCTGGTTGTGCTTATGCAAGAAGTGCGAGCTTTCCTGAGCGCATGCAGGCTATTGAAGCACTCCTCAATATGCGCTGCTGGGATGTGGGTTTATTTAAAGGTAAGCACGGGAGAAGGCTATTGCACAAGAATAAAGATAGACAGAGAAAAATGCAGATAGATCGCCAGATGAAGAGGTATTAAAAGTCTAACAGTGGATTATGCACCTCTATATCAATGATTCTTTGAAGGCCTATCTCTTCTAGAAAGAGCATCAGCAGGAGATTATGCTGCAGAGAAGAGATAAAGAGAGACAAGGCGAGACTTATCCCCGATAATGGCATGCATGCAAATCAGAGAAATAAAGAGCTTCTTTCCGCCTTCACCACCCTGTCTAAGAGGGAAGGACAGGGCCTGTGCTTAGAAATGAATAATATGCAGACTCTATGGTGTTGGGAGTTGTTAATATCAATATAGTTAAAACAACGGGGCAGCGGGCTGTCAGATGCTGTCGATGTTGTAGGGTGTACACCTCACCAAAAAAAATATATCTTCAGTTCTTCGGAATCGCAGAAACAAGAGAGGGGCTGCATGCTCAATCCGGGGCTCTTGCAGAGGCTTTCTATTCCTTAACGAATCTGGACGGATATCTTAATGGAGTTCATCGTGGGTTTACCACCTATTAAGTCGAGGGTAGCATTGTTCTTGATGATAGGCTCAGCAAATATGTTTAATTAACTCGTTGTACGAACGCCGTAGCAGCAGCAGAAGGATCTTAACAATTATTCATCAGTCTTCTTTGGAAGCTATGTGTTCTTCCTAGTGAAGGATCTTATAAACTCCTCGGCGACATCTATATGCACGCCTCTACTTAGCTGTGGCAGCTATAAGCGTGGGTGTGCACAGCGCAGCGTAGGGTTTAAGACCCTTTACGTTGACTATTACCCTTTCATATGCATAAAGGAAATAGTCTCTGTTTAATCTCCTCGCTCTCATTCGCTTATTATCTCTTCGCTGTCATCTACGCTCCTCTTTGTACTTCTCTCCAACTCCGCGCTGCCGCTGGCATTACCTTCATTATAAAAATATTTCGGGGATAGATCAGTGCTTGAAGTTAATATAAATGATTAGCAGTTGTTTATAATGCTTGTGCATGCGCCGAAAGGTATGGTTGCTTGAGAGGCTGCCTTGCAGCAGGAGTTGCAGCCTGATATTCCCAGAAGTATATTCATTTGAGTGCAGCTAATGACGACCCTCAACAAAGATGGAGATAGGGGCTGTCTTCGATCTTAGCTACGGACCGAAGCCAGCTGACATGCAGATAAAGGTTAATAAAAATACTCTTTCGTAATCAGCTGCCTGTTGCTGCAGTTGCCAGCTCTCCTTAGCATTGCGAGACAAGGGTCGGGGGCTATCATATACTGTAGCAACAATCAGGGGCTTGGTGTATGCACAGCGACGCTTCTTGCTGCAGCTAGTGCTGCAAGACAGCTGCATATTCATACAAGCTGCATCAAGGCTCTGATTGTTGCTGCAGTTGCTAACATTACAGAGAGCTGCTTAGCTGTCTCTTCCTTGTTCTCTAGTGCACTTAGATGAGGTGGCGCATGCAGCAGCCGTTCCAACTGCAGACAGCTGTCCTTGCTGGGGGTTTAATTATTTTAATTTTATTAATTTTAATTATTAGATTTAAAATAATCAAACGCCAACCACAGAACCACAAACCTTACCCTCAACAGATAACAACTATCTAGAGACAACTTGTCTCCTAAATCGGGTGCCTTGCTAAATATCTGCTTCTTCTTCTCCCCAACCTTTTGTATATTCACTGCAGCTAATAAAAGGATGACTTATAATGCTGTTTGCTGCTGTGCTGCAGACGTAGAGGTGCTGATGCATACACATAGATGCATATATATATATATATTATATATAATACACATTTATATATATCTACACATATATATGTGTGTATCCCCCTTCTAATATATATATATATATATATATATATATATAAGGCTGCTGGGTAGACAGCAGCAAGGAGAGACAGCAGCTGAGTGGTTGCTGCAGCGGTGTATTAATAATATTAGGGGCTGGGGCTTCGAGCAGAAGAAGAGATGCATAGACATTGTTTAGCTTGCTCTGTCTGATAAAAAGAAATATGCATTTAAATAAATGTTTTAATTAACTCTATTAAAGGTTTATTAAAGGTGTAAATATACTTTGTCTAGCTGCAGCAGCAGAAGCTGAAGCACAGCAGCAGCAGCAGCTACCCTAGGGGGGCCCCCCTGTAGGGTCTACTGGGCTTTGTTTTGTGTTTGTCTTTGCATGCAAGGGGGGCTTAATTGGTATTATTTTATTGTATTTTGTTTAAATTAAATAAATGAAAAGGGTTAACATATTTTTTTCTTCATACATAGACACCTCAACTGCCTCCCTATGATGGGGGCCCGAGACCGCCTAGCAAAGGTTCCCTGGTAAGAAGAATTAATATCAAATGCATTGATTTCAAGTTTATTTTTTATTTATTTTAATTAAAATATATTTATTAACCCCAAATAAACACAATAAGGCCCCTTCAAGACGAGGAGCGAGCACTGAGGTGTATGTGCATGTATCTTTTATTGTTGCTGCTGCATACAGATTGAGGTGTATATACACCTCAATCCCTATGCACCACCACCAGCAATCTTTATGCAGCACCACCAGCAATATTTATGCAGCACCACCAGCAAGCTCTATGCAGCAGCAGCAGCAGCAATCTCTATGCAGTAGCAGCGGCAGCAGCAGCAATCTCTATGCAGCAGCAGCAGCAGCATCAGCAGCAGCACAATGAAGCCTTCTATAATCCTTATTGTGTATTAATATTATTGTGTGCATTTGTTGTATTTATTATTTGTTTTTCTTTGCTTTTCACCGTTCATTTGTTTAGCTCTCCCTTCTTCTCTTGCTGCCTCTCTCCTTTTGTTGCTGTTGTTCTCATACAACTCTGTTTATCTATTTATCTCTCTCTCTCTCTCTCATTGTACTTGTGCACGGGTCTTAGCTATCATAGCCAATCCAGCCCCGTCACCCTCTCCTTGGATGCATGCATGCATGCATGCATGCATGCATGCATGCGCATGCGTCTGCTGCAGGCTGCGGCGCATCTGCGTGGCTCTGTGTATTGTGGGGCCGCTGCTGCTGCTGCTTTACTTCCCCCCTGTTGCTGTTGCTACTCTTTTTTGTGTTTGCTGTATCGCTGCAAACGAACACTGCCGTTTGAAGACCGCTGCACTGGAGAGGCTTCCAGGGCTCTCTATAGAAGCACCAGCACAAGCAGCAGCAGCAGCAGCAGCAGCAGCAGCAGCAGCAACAGCAGCAGCAAGCACAGCGCCGTCCAGTCAAACAAGTCATTCACAGACGCATGCAGAGAAAGGAACGAAGATAAAACATCAACAGCAACAAAAACATCAAACAGCAGCAGACAAATTAAAAGCAGCATACAAATCTCCGGGGGTAAGGGTTGAGGTGTACATACACCCTAAACCCTCATATGAAAGGGTTTATTAGGGTTTATTAGGGTTTATTAGGGTTTAGATCCTTCCTTCTGCTGCCGCAGCGCCTCCAGTGTGTCTCTTCCCTCGTCTCTCCGTTTGCTGCATTTGCTTCTGCTGCTGCTGCTGATGTTGCTGCTGCTGCTCTCTTCTGGTGTATGTGAGTGCAGTTGCTGATATTATGCTGCGCTGCTCTATTCGGTGCTGGGATCGTCGATCCCAGCAAGACGCCTGCCTTCTGTTTCCTCGCCGCCGCAGCTGTACGTAAACCCTAAACCCTAAACCCTAGTCTTTAAAGGTTGAAGCACTGGGCGTTCACTATAGCAACAGCAGCAACAGCAGCAGCAGCAGCAGGAGGAGCTCTTCTATGTCTTTGGGGCTGCATGCGCAGCGGTGTCTGTCTCTGTTTCTCTCAGGCGGTGTCTTTTGGCGTTGCAGCCTCCTCTATTCTCGTCTATGCCTGGCGAAGAGACATCCCTGAGTTAGTTAGGGTTGTTTATTAGGGTTGTTTATTAGGGGTGTTTATTTAGGGTTGTTTATTAGGGGTGTTTATTAGGGGTGTTTATTAGGGGTGTTTATTAGGGTTGTTTATTAGGGTTGTTTATTAGGGTTGTTTATGTATTGGTGTTTGTTATGGGTGTTTAGTAGGGACGAGTTGGGTTATCACTAGGGTTTACTAGGGTTTATTAGGGGTTTAGGAGGGTTTAGGGTTTAGGGTTTAGGGTTTAGGGTTTAGGGTTTAGGGTTTAGGGTTTAGGGTTTGAGGGAGAAGGGCTCCTTAGCCACCGTCTCTGAAGATGCAAGAGAAGGTCTAGGGTTTAGAGTTTACTGCAGGTCGAGGGACTGCTTGCTGTACGCCTGGGCCTCTGCTGGGTTGGATTTATATTTCTTGTGGCATTATGCAGTGCCTCTCGCAATGGGGGGTTTCGTCTTGCAACGCAAGTAAGGGTTTAGGGTTTAGGGTTTAGGGTTTATGGTTTGGGGTTTAGGGTTTGCAGCGGGAGCCTTCCATCTTGTGTACATCCGCAAGACGGCGCTGCAGGATATAGAGGTGACAGCAGCTTCGCTGCTTCTACGAAGGGCAGCACCTGCATAGACAGCTTTAGGGTTTAGGGTTTAGGGTTTAGGGTTTAGGGTTTGTGTGCGCTGGCAGTGGCGGGCTTCCCCTTGCTGCTTCTCTCATTGCAATTTCTGCTGCTGGAGACAGCGGGGCTCTTTTTTGCGGTTCTGCATTTGGTAATATCCGCATAATTCAGAGACTGTCTCCAAATAAGACAGTGGCGGGTAAGGGTTTAGGGTTTAGGGTTTAGGGTTTGGGGTTTAGAAGGCGTTTATCTGGTTTCCTGTGTAGCGACTTGCACTGCCTAAATATGCATCTTCGTGTGTCTTTAGGGTTTAGGGTTTAGGGTTTAGGTTTGAGATGTTGGGTGTGGCGTTGGTGGTGGTCTATGGCTTCTCTTTGCGTCGGAATTCAGGGTTTAGGGTTTAGGGTTTAGGGTTTAGGGTTTAGGGTTTGTGATTGAAGGTGTGCTGGGATCGTTTGCGTGGAGTTGGGCGGCGGCTTTGCTGCTCTGGCATTTGTCTCTGCACTGCCCTTCTTTGGGTTTAAGCCTCTTCTCTCTTGCTGATTATCTTTTCTTTGCTTCTTTAGTAAGCAAAAGAAGCTAGAGAAGTAATTAATAATATGCATTTAAATACGCATGCGGAGACACCCTATTTAGAGACACCTAAATGGAGACACTTCTTTAGAGACACCTATATAGAGACACTTAAAGGAGAGATATTTCTTTAAAGACAACTAAATAGAGATATATAAATAGATATATTTCTTTAGAGACACCTAAATGGAGACACTTCTTTAGAGACACACACTTCTGTAAAGACACCCTATTTAGAGACACCTGAATGGAGACACCCCTTTAAAGACACCTAAAAGGAGACACTTCTTTAGAGACACCTAAATGGAGACACCCAAATAGACGCACTTCGATAGAGACACCTAAGTAGAGACACTTAAAGAGAGACAACTTCTTAGAAACACTTCAATAGAGACACCTAAACAGAGACACTTGAATAGGGACAGCTTCTTAGAGACGTTCTCTAGAGACACCTGAATAGACACCCTAATAGACACACCCAAATAGAGCGAATACCTTCTTAGAGACACCTTCTCTAGAGACACCTAAATGGAGACACCTTCTTAGAGACATTTAAGTGAAGGCACCCCCTAAAATACGTCTAAATAGAGACACCTAAATGGAGACATCTCTTTGTAGACACCTCTTTAGAGACACCTCTTTATAAGGCATCTTCCCGCACGACTGCACTTGCACGTGCTGCTGCTGCTGCTGCTGCTGCTGCTGCTGCAGACAAGTGGGATCGGTTTGCTGGGGGACCTTGTTGAGAGCGCCTATAAACGCTGCGCTGGTGTTAAAGACTCGAGTAGTTTGTTCGGGCCCCACGGCGGGATGCTGGACCGTGTAAGTGGGGTTGGAGTGTACGTACACCTCAGTGCATGCAGAAATAAGCGAGTTGTATTATTTCGCTTCTTTATTCTTCTATGCTCTGGGGGCTGCTGCTGCTGCTGCAGCAGTGGTGGTGCTGCTGCAGCAGGTGGTGGTGGTGCTTCTGCTGCAGGAGGTGGTGCTGCTGCAGCAATAACAACAACCCCACCCTACCCTCCGATCCTTTTAAATCATAAGGGGGCTTTATTTGTGTTTTTTGTTTGTCTTCTGCTGCGGGGTTTTTCAGCTGGATTCTTTGGCGCTGCCAATCCCCGTACTGGTGTTCTTCTTAACACTACGAGGATATTTGTAGCTATTTGGGGCTTTCTTTGCATGCATGCATGCATGCATGCATGCATGCATGCGAGGTGCGTCTACACCTCGCGGTGCTGGGGTGTACAGGCAGCTCGTATGCGGCTGTTCCCCTACACTACGCTGCAGCTAACCTCTTCTTGTATAGCTGCTGCTGTCTCTTTAAAGGAGACACCGGAGAGACACCAGCAAAGAGACAGATGAAAGCATCTTTAGAGGGTTTTGTCTCTCTTTTTTTCTTAGTTTTCTTCTGCACCTTTATGGGGCAGCAGGGCTCTGTTTATTATTACACCGAAGAGCCAAGAGCTCTCAATAGATAAGAGCCTCAGCAGCTGAAGGTTTAGGGTTTAGAGCGTTGTAGGGTTTAGGGTTTAGGGTTTAGGGTTTAGGGTTTAGGGTTGGACCGCTTGCTGGTGCATGCATAGGGTTTTGTTTTAGTATATACCGCAGATGGGAGCAGTCAGAGACAAAAGGAGACAGAAAAGGAGACAGAAAGAAACAAAGGGAGACAGAAGGAGACACGAAAAGAGACAAAATGAGACAAAAGGAGTTAAAACTAGAGACGAAATGAGGCAAAGAGAGACAGAAGGAGACAGAAATAGACATAAAAAGACAAAAAGAGACAAAAGGAGACAGAAAGAGACAGAAGGAGACACAAAGCAACGCAAAAAGAGACACGAGGAGACACAAGAAGACAAATAAAAACAGGAGACGGACCGAGAGACATGAGGGGACAAAAAGAAACTGAAGGAGACAGAAGGAGACAAAAAGAGACAAATAAAAACAGAAGGAGACACGAAGAGACAAAAAAGAGAGACAGGAGGAGACAGAAAGGAGACAGAGACAGCGAGCGACAGCTCTTGGGAGTTAGGTAGAGACAGCACGAGACAAAAGAAGGGGCAGTTAGTGTGGGCTGAGGAGACACCCGGAGAAACAGAGACAAGGAGACAGAGACAAGCAGAAAGAGACAGAGAGAAACAAAAGAGACAAAAACAACAGACAACATAGAAGGAGGAGACACGAAGGCGGCGCAGAAGAAGAAGCCCCAAAAAGGAGACAGAAGGAGACAAAGGGAGACACCAATTGCTCTAGGGTTTAGGGTTTAGGGTTTAGGGTTTAGCTGCCAGCGCGTGTTTAGAGCACAGCAGTCGATGGTGTGTTCGATGTTGTTAAGGGTTGTGTCTGTCTCCTCGTTCCCTGTTTGTGTTTAGGGTTTAGGGTTTAGGGTTTAGGGTTCGTGTGTTTTCGTGAGTCGCTGCGATATGCATGCATGCATGCATACACTCTATTTGGGGCCCCCAAGGAGACAGTCCCCTCTGTAGAGACACCTGGGGTGTCTGTCTCTTGGAGACAGCAGCTGCAGCACTTTGGGTTAGAATGCTTAACGAAAAGCAGAAATATAATAAATAAAGAGGATTTAAAACAGAAACAGAACAACCTAAACAAACGAGCTAGCATTATCCTCGTGCAGTGTACAGACAGCTGAGGAGACACCTGTCTGTCTCTGCAGCAGCAGCGGTTGTCTCTCTCTCTGTTTCTCTGTCTCTCTCTCCTTAGGAGAGCAGCAGCGGTTGTTTTTTTAAGTTTTATTTATTGAAATAAAGAAAAATAAAATATGTTTACTATTTATTATCTTTTTATTTATCTTCTTTGAGGCTCCCACAACACCCAAAGGAGACAGGAGACACCTTCAGTGCCCATTAGCACCGCACAGAGCAGCAAGGAGACGCACTGCAGCAAAAAGGTGTAGGGTGTAGGGACAACAGAAGCTTGAAACAGCAGCAGCAGGAGCAGCAGGAGCAGCAGCAAGAGCAGCAGCATCAGCAGCAGCAGCAGCAACAGAGTTTGGAGACTGCAACGCACCAGGGGATCGAGCTGAGGCGATGGGGGAGGGGCTGCAAGATGTATTTATAGATGTGCCCAAGTTGGGTTGTGGGGTGAAGAGGGGGTTGGGATCGGTTTCGGAGTCGATCCCGGGATCGTCGGGATCGGTTGGGATCGTGCAGCGGTTAGAAGTATCAGGTGCTGCTCCTTCTGCTCGTGGGGGGCACAGCGCAACTGCATGCAACAATAAAATATATATATTTGGTGGGCACGAGTTAAAGGGGTCTGGCAGAGGGTTTATATATCATGATGCGTTGCATATATTAGATTTATCTGCGCTTCAATGGGTGTCTCCTTCTCGAAGTATAATAAAGGGGACACCTCCTGCTGCACGTTACGGTCATTCTGCATGTCTATATTCATCAAAAATACTTATATTTGGGGGTAGAGGGGGCCCTTGTCTTTATTATAACGACTTGCATGCATATGATACACATACAGACACGTGGTTAGTAGGAAAGCAAAGCAATAAGAATCCTTTACCGCGATTCTTGCACAGCTGTACACTTTATAAAGATAAACTTTATTTATTTGGAGGGGCTAGAGGCCCTACTCTTCTTAATGATGTCTTCTGTTTAGATATTAACTCCTTACAATGGACGCAGCTCAATACTAAAGGATCAAAACCCTCTCCTAGAGCAGCACATGCTGCTGCTATAGCTGATAAATATCTACTTATCTACGGGGGACTCATACGAGCACAGGTTTGTTATTATCAAATACAAAATAAATAAATAAATAAATAAATAAATAGATGTAGCAGCAGATGCACTACTCACGAATATACCCCTCCTGCTGCAGCTGCAGCAACAGCAGCGATAAGAACTACAGCAGCAGCACCAGGAAGCGCAGCAGCAATACTAGGTGCAACACTAGCAGCAGAAGGAAGCGCAGCAGTAGGAAGTGCAGCAGCAACAGCAGCAGCAACAGCAGCAGCTATATGAAGTGCAGCAGCAGCAGCAGCAACAGAATAGGCAGCGCTGAAGGGGTGGAGGAGACGCCAACAACGACAAATAAACGCAAACACAAAACTAAAAAATAAAGACGAAACGAAGATAAGATAAAAAGAGAGACACAAACAAAGGAAGAGACAGAGACAGCAACAGAGACAGAGTCTCTAACAAAGAAAAGAGACAGACAGCTAAAAGCAGGGCGCAGTAACACCCCAAAACACCAAACACAAAACAAGGGTTTTAGGGTTTACGGGGATGCTGATCTGTGCTTAGGGTTTAGGGTTTAGGGTTTAGGTCTCCTGTCTCTTTCCTGCGTTTGCGGTGTACGTACAGCTGTCAGACGACTCAAACCCGAGCAGCAGCAGCAGCCCCAGCAGCCCAGCCAGCAACAGCAGCAGCAACAGCAGCAGCAGCAGCAGCAGCAGCAGCAGCAGCAGCAGCATAGGCATTCCTTCTGCAATTGAAGACTGGTATGGAGGAGACATGCATGCACTGTCTCTTTCTGACTTGTCGTGGCATAGGGTTCGCATTCGGGGACAGTTGCCGTCTCCTCGCATGGGTCACACTTTCGCTCCCTTTGGAGACTGTCTCCTTCTCTTTGGAGGCTGGCCCCACAGCTGCAGCAGCAGCAGCAGCAGCAGCGGGGGCAGTAGCAGCAGCAGCAGCAGCGCTTTGCAGGAAGGCGCGGCAAAATCTGCAGCAGCAGCAGCAGCAAAACACAGCAATGCTGAATCCACATCAGCAGCAGCAGCAGCCGAAGCAACAGCTCCCGAAGCAGTAGCAGCAGCAGCAGGAGCAGGAGTAGGAGACGGGGTTAAAGAAGTGCCGTTTCATTTGTCTGCTGCTCTTTGCAGCAGCACAAGCCAATGGAGACCCCTGGTATATAAGGGGCCTCCGCTGTCTCCTCGCTATGGGCACTCCTGCACGGAGACACCCGAAGGTCTGCTGCTGCTGGGGGGCTGGACCAGCCCCGCACCTCTTATGGAGGTACTACTTGTTACTCCTGTTGCTGCTGCTGCTCCTGCTGCTGCTGCTGCTGCTGCTCCTGCTCCTGCTGCTGCTGCTGCACCTGCTGATGCTGCTAAAGGGCCCAGCCTGTAGAGGTGATGATGGAAGCAGGCCGAAGGAGACAACAGTCCCCACGGAAGGAGACACATCATGCATGCACGCATGCACGCATGCATCAGTGGGGCTTGCATGCATGCATGCATACAGCCCCATTCATTCGTAAAAGTTGCAGCTTCGGTACAGCCAGCTCGCCTCAAGTGTTGGAGCTGCCAAGCAGCCAGCTAGCTAGCCAGCTAGCTAGCTAGTTAGCTAACTAGGTAGCTAGCTAACTAACTAGCTAACTAACTAAGAAGCTAGCTAGCTAGTTAGCTAGCTAGCTAACTAGGTAGCTAACTAGATGGGCTAACAATCTATCTACCATTTTCCTGTCTGGCTGTCTGGCTAGCTAGCTAGCTAGCTAGCTAGCCAATCAGCTACAAAAGCTAGCTAGCTGGCCAGCTAGCCAGCTAGCTAGCTAGCTGGCGGACTAGGTAAGTAGCTAGCTGCGGCGAGAAGGGCATCGCTTTGCAGCGCAGCAGCAAGAAGACAGCAAGAGGAGACACAGCGAATGCTAAAACCCTTTAATAGATTGTTACTGGAAGAGACAGTAGAATCATCTGAGCTGCAGATACACCTGGGCCCTCACAGCTGCTGCTGCTGCTGCTGCTGCTGCTGCGCTTCAAGCAGCAAACAGCTCTTTGCAGTGTATGTACATCAGCCTCTAGCTGTCGGCGCAGAGGGATAAGAGAGCCCCTCTAAAAATTAATTATCTCTTTAGCTAGTTGAGGCTTCTGTACACCCCACAGACCAACAGACGCCAGTCGGTGAGGTGTATGTACACCACACGGAGCAGCAAAGAGAAACAAACCCCTTCTTACTGCCGGATCCAAACATACCGAGGGTTTAGGGTTTAGGGTTTAGGGTTTAGGTCCTTGGGGTGTCTCCGCTATTGCTTGGAGCTTTTTGTCTAACCCGCATGCAGAAAATTAATTGTATTTTTTAGAGTAAATAAAAAAGCAAAGAGACAGCAAAAGCCGCTGATGAGGCCGACAACCCTCCGCTCCAGCAGCAGCAGCAGCAGACACAGCTGCTGCCGAGCTGCTGCAGCGTAGTTGCTGCTGCTGGCTGCCTTCTCTTCAATGTAATACTCCAAGGAATAATAAAATAGGAGATATATATTATTAAATTAAAATAAAACTCATACCTCTTCTGTAGGTATGCAGACCTCCTAAGCCTGCGCCGCCGCGAGCAGCAGCAGCAGCAGCAGCAGCAGCAGCAGCAGCAGCAGGGAGCAGCAGCACGAGGCACTGATCAGCAGATTCTGCTACTGCAGCTCAATTGGCTTTCAGCCAAACTGCTGCACTGAATATGCTTTAACCGGGAGCAACCTCAGGTGTGTGTACACCCGAAGTTCTGTAGGCAGCTTGACGGCCCCTTGAGACCCTCAGCAGCAGCAGCAGCAGCAGCAGCAGCAGCAGCAGCAGGTTCTCTTGATCTTCCTGGCTTTGATCGCCTTGACTTACATCTCGTACCATTCTTTTAGGGAGGATACACGCGGCAGCACCCGCCGCCGCCGCAGCAGCGGCAGCAGCACCAGCAGCAACAGCAGCAGCAGCAGCAGCACCACCAGCAGCTACACAGACCTAGCTCAATCTGTGCGCTGGTGACGCAGGCTTCGCCTTGCCAGCAGGCGTGGCAGTGGAGCAGCAACAGCAGCAGCAGCAGCAGCACACACAAGCAGCAAGTGAGGGATCCGCCCCCCAGCAGTAGCAGCAGCAGCAGCTGCAGCAGCAGCTGCTGCAGCAATGTCTGCCACGGACGATGAAGCCTCTGAGGGCTCTCTGTGGGATGAGGGCCACGGGGGCAGCGGCAGCAGCACAACGACCCCAGCAGCAGCAGAGCCAACCCCCCGTTTCCCAGCAGCAGCAACAGCAGCAGCAGCAACAGAAGCAGTAGCAGCTACAGAAGCAGCAGCAGCAGAAACAGCCGCAGGAACAGAAGCAGCAACAGAAGCAGCAGCAGAAGCAGCAGACTTTGCCCATGCAGCGTCACCCCACAGACAAGGGACGATGGGGGGCTCTTCAGGGGACATGCAGCTGCAGCAGTCGTACCCCTCGGAGCAGCAGCAGCAGCAGCAGCAGCGGCAGCAGCAGCAGCAGCAGCAGCTGCAGCAG